TTTTAGTATTCTCTCTCCAGCTGCTACCACACCCAAAACCTTTCTCTTGGCCAGGAGTGGATTGCCCATTCTGGCAAGAGTCCATGTTCCAAGCCTTAACATTCTCTTCTCAGATGTGTCACCTTGGGAAAACTCTAAAAGTAGATGGTTTTTAACAGTGTACTTAAATCTTAGGTGTCTTTCTGCACAGGAAAATTCTCAAGAAAGGAACTCAGGGAAAAATGTGAAAACTGACCGACTAAAAAAATGGAGGAGAAAATTTGTCAGCAGAAGATATAAGAAAAGCAGCTATTGCTAAATTAGCAATCCAAGGCAGATGTTTATAAGAGCTGACATTCTGGCTACACACTTTCTAAACTGTCATTTTTCACCTATGTAGGTCTTTGCACTCGTGGTAGCTCTGGCCATACACAGTGTCCTGGGGAATTCCCTCCTTCCATCTGCTTGTGGACAGCTTACTTGTGGTGGAGGATGTGATGTCACCATGTGTTCTGTGGTCTAGGGAAATCTATCCTCGAAGTGGGAGAAACCCAGCTCCACCCATAAGCTGGGCCTAAAAGTCAAGGTTTCAAAAAGGGCCTGTAGCCTTAGGCAGAACCTTGACAAGGAAGGGTTTGGTGGTTATTGTAAGTTCTCAAGGTCAGAGAAAGTGCTAGGAAGTGAAGGAAATAGACACAAGCATGTGGACAGTAGCTAGAAAAAATTAGTGAAGTTGACAACACAACTACTATGGTTTCAAAAAATGTAACTAGAAAACAGCATATCACACAATGTCGCATGTCTGGTTTTTAGAACTAAAACAGGAAACAAAGATAATAAAATGCAGAAGTTATCTGGAAGAAATTTGAAACTATTTCTGAACATTCTAGAAAGTAGTGAGGAAGATCAGACTGACCAAAAAATAAGCAGTGTTTACCACTCTCCAAGCCCAAGGTCATCTCTGATAGACTAGAAATCTATCAGGATTCTTGAGCAATCTGTGGAGAGATGGTTAAAGTGAGAATAAAAATTTTAGCTATAAAAATACCAATTAGATTAGACAATTACAAAACAGAAAAGTCACAGTGCATTTGGTATCCCATAGAACCCCTGATCTTTGTGTCAATTATACATTAAAGCTACCCCATTCATCTTATAGGGTTTGCTCAGACCGTCTCCCTAAGGAAACCAGAATCACTTCAGAGACTGCTTCTCAGGAGATTCAAGCCACACCAGAGGGCTGTGTAATCCCATAAGCAATGCCCCAAATTTCTTTCTGATAAGCTCAGGATGAGCCAAGGTGTGGTTTGGTTGGGATCCAATAGAATGGGAGACAAGGTGAGCTTTGTCATCTGAACTAAAGGAACTCTTAAAAAAAGCAACTGTCAAACTGCACAGGCCCCAGTGAAGATATAACCTACCATTGGAGTGAAGGAACAGGCTCCGGACCCTGCTTGAGGAGTCCCTCTCTATCTCAGAGCAATTGATAATTTCTGCAATACAGGGAAAGGGTGTTGGAGAATTTCCTCCCAAGGGGGCTTCCCACACTCTAGATGTTTATTGAATGGATGTATGTTGAATTGCAGCCATGCAGTGGAGAGAAGTTAATGGCATCCAGCAAGCAAAGGTAATTATTATCCTGGTGGCCTATTAAGTAGCATTACCTTGATGCTCTTTGTGGGTGACAAAGTCGAGGAAAAGCCAGAGCAGCAAAATCCTCCAAGATGTGGAGTCCATAGAAACAGGGCTCTGCGCCATTCACTCCCCTTTTCCCCCTTTACTGAGGCTAACTCTGTTCCACATTCAAAAGATATCACAATCTCAGTTGTTTTTATCTGTTTTTCTGCTCAATTTACAAGAATTTAATTCATTTTAGCCCTTTGGGGGGAAAATTTGAAAGCCCAAGGTCATCTCTGATAGACTAGAAAGGTCTACAAAGATTTGCATTTCTGATGTGACATTTGGGGCCTATTACAACAAAGCTCTGGGTTATCATTGGCACACTCACAGTGAAATACTTCTGCTTTAGGTGCCACATTAGTTCAGCATTCTGGAACATCTGAGGTTTTTTTTTTCTTTTATTTATTTAGGACAGGGTGTATAGGGTCTCACTGTGTAGATCAAACTCATAGTGATCCTCCTGTTTGCAGCCTCCCCAAGTGCTGGAATTATAGGTGTGCACCACCAAGCCCAGTCTCAGTCACCTCTCAGTGCACCCTGGGGGTGGGGCCAGAATGGCAGGCCCACAGATCAAACCCTTAGCTCCTGCATCTGCCTAAGCAGGCCCTCTAATTTGCTGAGCTATTTGGCCAGCCCTCATCTGAGGTTTTAAACTACTTACTTGTTGTGAGATCTTTTACACCAGAAGGTTGCATTCTCTCTGTACAACTTCAACAGGATAATTCTGGGGGCATTTGATCAACAGTTGATATTCAGTGTGGTGCTTTCAATGGTCAGGGCTCTAGCCTAAGTACCATTCTCATGTCACTGATCCAACAACCCTGTGAAATATGGATTGCTCTTCCTACTTTTTCACTGAAAGGAGCTGAAGCAGAGAGCTAAAATTCACCTGTCCCAAATCATAGAGCCAATAAGTGAAAAGATATAGATTCAAATCTTGAATTTGTGCTGTTTTTGGTTTTCTTTCCTATTGTTTCTATAGAGCTAAGAGCAACCAATGCCAGGCCTCTCAGTTTTCAAACTCCTTAATCATTTCTAGTCTTTGCTGTTCCTTTTTCTATAATGATCTGAGAAAATTTAGCTTCCCTAATACTTTTCCTAAATCTCAGATTTTAATTCCAACAATAATAGTTAACATAATGAGTGCTCACCCTTTTTTCCCCACTTACCAACAAATGTGCTCTTGAATTTAAGTTTTGGAAAATCTGCAGGCATTTTTACCTACTTTAGTATCTCTGTTACTACTACCTTGATCCAAGCTACCATTACTTATTTACCACAAGTTTTTGCAGTAGAATTTTGACTATTGTATTTTATTTTGATTTGTTTTCAATTGACTTAATTGTGCACTAAAAGTGATCCATTGTAAGGAGTAAGTTAAAGGACCTTCATTGTTTAGACAAGATATCATGTCTACAGCTTGTCCTCTGAATAACTACTATGAAGACAGAAATATGCAATGTATTTATTATTGTAACTGTCATATTAACCTGTTTTGAAACGGTTTCATTGTTAGTTTATCTTTTTTCTCATTAAAATGAATAAAAGATAGAAAAAAAAAGTTGCAGGCGGCAATCTGGCCAAGCCCAGATTGAGGCTTACATTGAGTGAAGGAGAGAGAACAGGAATTCACAGGGTATGGGACTGTTAACAGCAAAAGGAACCAGCTTCCCACCCAGTGCCCACCACTGAGACAGTTTTTATTGAAGTGCATGTTGTATTTACAAGTGACTTTCCTGTAGTCCAGGCCCAATGGGACATTCTCTCAGGTGGTAAAAGAGAGCCAAGTGAGAGAAGATCTCCCGCACCAAGGCCTAGCAGATGGTGTGAGTCTGCGGAACCTCCAGGTTTATAGAGCCTCTTGGAAGCCTGGAATGGTCTGGTCCTCAACTGCTGACTCAGATTTCTCTTCATTTGTCTCTTCCCCTGAAGATAGACTCCTCTTTTCTGCAATTAACCTTTTAGCTCCCACCTTCCACTGACTGACCTCAGTCATGTGGTCGAACATGAGTGGGCGGGTTATCTGCTGCCTCCCACTGATGGCTTGAAAGCTCTTGCACCAGTAGTGCCATCCTCTTCTTTATAGGAGTTGACAACTTTCCTCCTGCCTGTTGTCCTTGAAGCAGAGCTAGTCGTCGGCTGACGTCATCACATTCCTGTTTCCTTGTATGGCCACGACAATCCTCAAATGCTTATTCCAAAGGTCTCAGCATATCTTTGGTCTATGGGGCCTCAGATTCAATGACTGGGAAGTCCATGGGTCCCACACTGGAGGCAGGGCAGCTCCCTACAGGTAGGAGCCTAGGATCCTTCCTTGAAGGAGGTGGAGGCCCCATTGGAGGGGGCCCAGAAGTCTCTGAGAAAGCAACACTAGGGTATCCATCCTGGGGGGCAGTGACTCTCTTAGTGAGCAGCGTGCGCTTGGGTCCACCAGTCTGGGTCTGTAGCCCATAAAAGAACTGCAGCGGGTAAATTAGGTATTAAAATTTTCTGGAGACAAAAAAAAAAAAAAAAAAAAAGAACAGCAGCGGGTCATTTCAGCTTCTTCACTTGTTGCCTTCAGAGATGAGGGTAGGTATAAAGTGAGACCAAGACTCTGCCACTGAAGGCTGAATCACAGTTTAGGGAGGTAAACAGTGCCCCCCAACCTGGCCTGCCACACTCTCCTCATCCTTAATATTCTTGTAGATATCATATTCACTATGTCATTTACAGATGAGGAAACAGGCTCAGGAGGACCAGTCACTTGCCCAAGATCCTACAGCTAGTAAGTATTATATGGCTCTTCATTTTGCATCTCTCTCCTCTGAACACTTCTATGAACTATAAAATAAAGCCCCTATTTTCAATTCTACAATATTCAGTAGTTCTGGGAGCTAAAATTTGAGTTCTACTCTGAAATTTGGGATCAAATGAAAAGTACCATTATTGGAAGAGTTGTGAACTTCAGGCTGAATTAGTAAAGCAGAACCTTGTTACTGTGGAGAACAGCCAAGGCTGCAAGGTGATTGGACATAAGCGAGAAGAGAAGAGAAGCCTAATGGAGCTACAAATACACCTGGATCATCAAATCATACCATTTGTGTTTCCCACAAGTGCCTTAAGAGCACATTATAGTAATGCTTTTTGTTTATTGGTGATAAGTTTACCAATTTCCCTCAGATGTATGCTTGGCAAAATCAGTAGACTACTGCTCTTTCCTGCTGCAAGTCTGATAATGTAGAGGTCACTGTGATGCAGCTGCACAACACACAACTACCAAAGCCCATGAAGAAATAATCTTAGGCTCTTAGCTTACTCATACGTGCCATAGGAACATCTGGGGAAAAACTATGGCTCATGGGATGTGTCATTTGGTGAGGTGATATGTGGAAGGTGATGTAGCTGTCAAAGAGGCTGTTTCCTGTTGGGGAAGAAGGGAAGGGCAGAGCCCAGAGAGTGACACAAAGGCACATGCATGAAGAGGTACAAGCTCAGGCCTGTGATGCCTTGTCTTGAGGAGCAATAATATCTGCAAACAAGGCCTCTCCACAATCTTCAAAGCCCTCTTGCACATGTTACTACATTTGCTTTTCTCAGAACCTTCCTCAAATATGGGGCCGGAGGCTTCATTATCCCCATTTTGTAGATAAACTTCCCTAAAGAGCTAAGAGTTATGTCTGTTCAAGGTCTTCCAATTAGGAAATGTCAGAATGAGACCCAGACTTCAGTGCTCTTCCTCCTTTTGTCACTTCATGGTGTGACAATAACAAATGAAAGTTTGTTGGTGACAACTGTCTTATGTGGGAATATAGGCATGGCTGAGCCAGGTTGTGGGAAGAGTTATATTTTTGGTTGAGGAATTTAAGTTTGGCTGGATAGTTATTGATTTACAGTGAAATTCAAATGGCATTTTATGCCATTAAACCTAACAGTGGTGTACGGGTCAAGATGTGCTCACACTTTCTGGGCATCAGATGACAATGCCCATTCCTGGTGGTGACATTGTATGTGTAGATTAAGAACAGAATTCAAGATACGTCATCTAAACGCAGTGATGGTAACTCTGCCAGTTGATTAGATGTGAGGTATTAAAGCAAGAAGAATGAAAGAAGATATCACAGTCCTGGTCAGGGTTTGAAAAGCAGGATGAGTTCAGACTGGGTTTGAAACTGGGGAAAGGTCATCAAGAGTATCCTGTAGGAAACTAAAATGTGGAAGTATAGTGCAGGTTGAATTCTTAAAGAAAATTGAACTTTTTTTCTTTATTTGTAAAAATGAAGTAATGATGTCAATTCAGCCTATGTCCAAAGACACCTAAGCAGACAAATGAGATTGTGGAAAGCAATTCTTTGAAAACCATGAAATGAAAAAGGGGGTGCCACATGCACATTTGGGAGTCAGTGAGAAAGGGGAGAGGTCTCCACGGAGAGCAAGGCCCCAGGAAATACAGAGGGCTGTGAGCTGAGCACAGCACTGGGCTCCACAGGCGCCAACACCGTGAGGAATAACTGGCAGCATATTCATAAGGGAGAGCAGTCAAGGATTAGATAACCATGGCCTGAAACATCAGAGGAGCCGAGGCTTCAAAGATGTGACAAGACTGAGCTTGCAGACTGAGCAAGAAGGAAGTCTGAGAAATGAGAAGGCTGTGGAACAGGAACAAATGTCTTTGTCTGAGTCATGTAAGAGGAGGATCTTCTCTGAGGTGGGGCAGGGCAGACATATTGTGCACATTAAGAAGAGGAAGCTGAGAGAAAAGTGATTTCTGTGGTTCCACTTATTCAGGGTGTTTAAGTACAAAAGAACAAGAAGAAAGTGGGCAGTAGGTCATGGAATTAGGAAGAGAGGAAACTAGCATTTGGTAACCACTTTGCATGCAGAGCAAGCACATTCTTTCATTTAAAACCCCAAGTAATTTGGGGCAACTAGCTTCATTTTAAAGATGAGGAAGCTAAATCTTAGAGAGTGAAAGTCACACTAAAAAGTGAAAAGGTTGCAAGTCAGGATAGAGCTACTGTATTTCAAGTAGAGCAGTGATAGTGACTCATTTAGAGACCAAGTCTCCAAGCCCACTTCTGTGTCACAAAGCACCACTTGAAATTTGCTAGCCACCAGAGCAAGAGGAAACTGTTCCACTGACCACAAGCTTTTGGCCTCTCTGTAAAAGGCATCTGAGTGTATTTCCTTTACCTATGGAGACTTAGCTAAAAATCAGTCAGTCCAAAATATATATTTAGGTGAGATGGGTTTCTTATTTTCATAAATTCTTCACAAACAACTAAATATGATGTTACATATTCAAGCATGCCAGGGGGATGGCACAACATTAGAAAAGAATTTCTTTCTCTTAATTAGACTATCTCTTTGCCAAATCTTAGATACTAAATTTAAATTTTTCATAAGAAAACTCAAAGCTAAAATTTTGTGCCATGGGCCCTGGAGCCTACACTCCATTCACATCATACAAGCTGGCAAATCCTTTTTTTTTTGTACCAGGAATCAACCTCAGGACCTTGCACTTATCAGGCAGAATTGTGTTCCAGAGCTATAACCCTGGCCCCTAAAAATCTTGCATTAAAAACAATGTATTTAAACTCCCAGCTAGTCCAAGCAACTTGACAGCACATGGACTAACTATGGGAAAGCTTGGGTTGAGTCAGGGCTAATGAGTTGTGGCTGGTGATGTCATTGCCTGGCGCTTCTCCTTTCTGAGCATCTGCAAGGCCCATATGTACACTGTTATCCAGTGCTTTACTGCTGGGGAAACACTGGCATGACTTGGCTCATGTACTAACAGAGAGGGCAACACACACACTGCTGTAGTACAGTATCTGGTATTATGCTTTATCCTTGGTGGAAAAATTAAATGGAAAATTCCAGAAACAATAAATCCCACATTAAATTCTATGCCACACTGAAGAGTATAGAAAATCTTGCACTATTTCACTCCTTCTCATCCAAATTATGAATCATTTCTTTGTCCAGCATATCCATGCTGTATGCTCTGCCTGCCTGTAACTCATTTACTAATTGTCTCTGCTATCAGGTTGACAATCTTGGTATGCTGCAGTTCCTGTGCTCAAACAGTCATTGGTTTAGTTAATAAAATAACATAAAAGTATAAGAGCAGGCATGCAAATGTGGCTCAGGGCACAAAATGTGGAAAGACAAATGAACTATGGTATTATGTGATAATCCTGTGGAACGTATGGGGAAAACATAGTACATATAGAACTTGAATTATGCATAGATTCAGGTAACCAGAGAGGATCTTGGAACATATTCCTCACAGATGAGGATCTGTTATCTGTACATTCCTCTATACTGTGGCTCAGCTATAATCTCTGAAGAGCGAGAAAAGGTGAAGAGAAGAAAAGCCTGAAGCCACATGAGGGAGAGAACAGACGTTCTCTAGAGAACTTCCTTCAGCAACAAGCACTGCAGGATCTACAGAATTGGAAAGCAACATCTCCCTTTATTGTGGTTACTCTATCAACTCTTGCTTGCTCTATTATGAGCTTCCTAACATTGAGTTTGCACCCTGCCTTATTGCTGATAACCTTGTTTAAACAATTTTTATTTATTGGTACACTTGAGAGCTATATAGCAATAAAATGCATAATAAATTTATACCTGTACATAGTATATCACACTTCTTTTTCTTCTCATTCCCCTTTCCTCCCTTTAACCTCATTCCTATCTTTATTTACAAAATCTTTGCTTTGATTTTTCCTTCTATTCTTTTTTTTCTTTCTTCTCCTTCCCCTGTTTTTCTTCTAATTTGAACATCTTTTGCCAGTATCTATCATGTGTTTTGGTCCTTACTTATACTTTTACTTTCTCATACCAGAAAAAGCATAGGATATTTATGTACGTGTGTTTGATTTACTTCACTTTGAGTAAGTCTCAAAATCCATCTATTTAAACTGTAAATATCTCAGGCTTATCTTTTTTTATGGCAGATTTAGACTCCATTGTATCAAAAACACACATCTTTATCAATTTATCAGATGATGGGCATTTGGATTGTTTCCAAGATTTACCTATTACAAACTCTGCTGCTATTGACATGGGTGTGGATTTATCACTGTGGTATGACGATTTTAATTATTTCAGGAAGATACCAAGAAGTGGAATATCTGGGTTGAATGGAACCTCTAGTCCTAGTTTTCTAAGGAAGATCCACACTGATTTCCACAGTGGTTGTACCAGTCTACACTCCCAGAGCAGAGAAGTGTTTCTTTTTCCCAATAGCTGGGCCAGCATTTGTAATTGGTTGATTTCTTGATGATAGCCATACTTTCCTGAGTGGTATGGAATCTCAGGATTGTTTTAATTTGCATCTCTTGAATGACTAGTGATGTTGAATCTTTATTCATATATATATTTTTCCATTTGTACTTCTTCCTCTGAGAAGTGTGTGTTCATTTCAGATGCCATTTTTGGATTGGGTCTTTAAATTTGGGGAGTCTGATTTTTTTCAATCTTTTATGTATTCTAGACAGTGGTTCTTTGTCTAAGAAACCTGGGAAAACTTTTTCTACTCTCTGGATTGTCTTTTCACTCTGTTGGTGATTTTTTTTTTCTGTGCAAAAAGCTTTTTAATAAGAGGAGATCCAAGCTGTTGATTTTCTGTGATAGATTCTATGTGATCTGGGGTTTGTTTATGAAACCTTTGCCTACATGAATGTCTTAAAGAGTTCTACCTATTCTCATTTCCTTGCTTTGGAAGTTTTCTGTTGTTGCTTCTGTGAACAGATTTTTTAATGTTGTTTGTGCTTTTTT